ACCTCTGTGGCCCCTAAGCCACATGTGGAAGCCCTGACCCCCAGTGTGGTGGCCTGTGAGACGGGGCTTTGGGGGGTGATTAGAGGAGGTCATGGGGGCAGGGCCCTCACAATGGGGTTTGTACCCCTGGAAGGAGACACCAGAGGGCTTGCTCACTGCCAGGTGAGGACACGGGGCGGGGGGTGGGGTGGGGTGGGGGGGGCGGGCGGTCATTGGCCAGCGGGAAGAGGAGCCCAATCAGCCTCCAGAACGGGGGGGACTGAGTGTCCATTGTTGCCGCCCCCCCAGGCTAAGCTCTCCTGTCATGGCGGCCCCGTGCCACCTCCCCCCAAATCGGTGTGGCCCAAATAAGGGACAGAGCCGGCCAGTGGAGAGCGGGGCTCATCTCTTTCACCTCAGGCGCCATCGGTCAGCGGAAGGCCTCCCTGAAACCCTGCCCTTGTCTTCAGCCTCGCTTTCTACACCTATGAAAAGCAGGTAATTCATATCTACCTGGAAGTGCTGCTGGCAATCGCATGCAGTAATGCAAGTCCTGCACGAAGGTGTCCCGCAAGTGACGGCTGTTATTATGAACAGGGGGTGGGGGGTGCAGGGGTGCCCTGGGCTGGCGGAGCTGGAAGGAGCCTGCACCGCTGCTGTCACCACCTGGGCGTGACTGGACAGGCGGCCCGGGGCCACTGCCAGGGAAATGAAGGCAACACAGACAGGAAGACGGCCCAGCCCAGCACCGGCCTGGAGCGGGTGTGGGGGACATGATTTGGGCCAGAACCTCTCTGGATGGTTCCACGTTGGTGTGCGCTTTAAGGCAGAGCTTCCCAGTTAAACTGCTGTGGAAGGTTCCCGGTGTGCTGGAGAGCGAGCCCTCCGCCCCCACCAGGGCAACTGGGCACCCAGACAAGGGGCTTCTCCAAAGCCAGCTCCGGGTAGGACCATAGCCAGGCCCCAGGCTGGGGTCCCCCAAGGGCCCCGGCTTCTCCTCGCTAAGTCAGCTGGCTCCAGTTACCAGGAGTTGGTTTTCCTTACAAGAAGAGAGAAAGGAGTAGAGAATGGAGGGGACAGAGCCCGCGCCCCCACGGATGGTTATTCTACCCCCAACGAGGGTGAAGAGGGTGAAGCGCTAGCAGGCAGCCTGTGCGCGTGGTGTGACTAATGTCTGGGCACACTGGGGAGATGCTGCCCGGGTGAGGGAGGTGATCGTGACTGGGCAGAGGATCCCCTTTGTCTCGGTGTCTCGAATTCCTCCACACTCCCCTGGTTAGTGCCCAGGACAAAGCTGGCACAGGGGGCACCGGTGTCCAGGCTGCTACCTTAAGGCTCTGACGGAGGGTGCCGGGCACAGCTTCATCTATGGGAGACTTCGGGGTATGTGGGAGCAGAGGAGGCTGCTGAGGCTGAGCTGTGCCGGGACCATGTATTAGGGGCCAGCGGTCCCCCATGGCAGCACAGCGCCTGGCTACCCCGGCATCCAGCAGCCTGGTGAGGGCCCCGGAGCTCACAGTGGCAGGGGCTCTGGCATGCTGTCGCAGCTGCTGCCCTCAGGCCTCCCGGCTGCCCCCGCCATGCTCCCACAAGGCCGCCGTCCCGGGCCTACAGCACGCGCTCCGTGTTTGTCACCTTGCCTGATTCCAGAAGGTACCAGAGACTGGACAAAGGTTGGCTGGTGAAGCCTTTGCTTGAAAAGTCACAGAGATTCGTCACCCCTTTCCCGCATTCTCACCCCGGGGCTGAGTGTCACCACAGACACAAAGAAAGATGAAGTGGGGCGTCTTGGGGAGGAGGGAGCAGACGGCTGGCTGGGGGGACAGGCCGTCTAGACCATGGTGGGAGAAGAGACGGCGATTGAGAGAGACGGACAGACAGAGACAGAGACAGAAATAGAGAAGAGCGTGTTATGCAATACGCGTAGCAGTTGTACATTCTCACCTCCCAGCGCCTTCCTGCTGCCGCCGGCCCAGCCTCAGAGCTGCGCGCCACTGGGCAGTCAAGGGCTTGGTTCTATTTTTAATGGCAACCCAGAAGCTGCTTGAGAAAGGGCAGGAGGGCATGGTGGGAAGAGCTTTGTAGTGAGACAAAGGCTCCAATGTGGCCCTGCAGCCTCCTACCTGGTGCCTCTGGGCCAAGCCCCTGCCCTCTCAGAGGCTCTGCTTCCTCCTGGCAGATGGGGGTGAAGACCGCGCCCCCTCCCGGCTGCCGCGAGCACACCAGGTGCTGGCCGGCACACGCACGTTCTCTGTGCAGGAGAATTCTGACATTTGTCCAAACGAGGGGCAGAGCTGGGAGACCCAGCTCCGGGGCCAGAGGCTGGAGCAATACCAGCCCAGCTGAGGCTGGGACGAAGTCTCCCCGCAGCCCTGCCCGACCGCGTGGACGCCTCACATACGCAGGGGGCTGCATTCTCCCCACCCAGCAACATCCATTACAGGAAACACCCAGGAAATGGAACCCGCTGTGTGTGAGTTGCCAGCAAACCCTTCAGAGTCCCACTGCCTCCATCGGCGCCCGAGCAGCAGCTGCCTGCTGCCGAGCTGCTCTGCTTCAGCTCAGAAGTTTGATCTTTGCATTTTTTTTTCTTGTAATGCTTTGGGGTATTTTGCTAAAAAACAGGTGGAACTACTGCACTTTACACACAGCATCCCATGTCCCTCGGGAGCGGGCTGGGATTAATGTGCTGTCCAGGCATCAGCACATTTGCTGGCAGGAGGAGGCATCACAGGTGTCACATGGCTGTGGCCTCTGTGATGTGCTTCTAAGAGCTAAGTTTCCCCTCGGGCGGAGGGGCGGTCACGGTGATTCTAGCCATGGCAAGGAATCCTGAAGCAGCTCTCGCAGTTCTGGCTTGGGTGAAGGTGCTCTGGTTTTTGGGGGTTGCCTCTTTTGATGCTCAGAACCCTTGAGCTCTGGGGGATGTCAGGGGGGCCTGGTTCTTTCGGTGAAGTCCCCCAGAGTGCAAGTCCCCAGCCTCCTTGAGGTCCAGCGGAGCCAGCTGCCCCAGTCAGCTTGGGGCTCTCTTGATGAACACCAAGTGCAAATGGCTCGAGGCAGCTGGCAAGATGCTAAGTGCGGCATCAATCCTAATTAGGATGAGGAATTAATAAAGGCGGCACCGGAGCCACTCTGCAGAGACCAGGCTTGCCAGAGTGGAGCAGTTAGTTCTGATTTCCACTGGGAAAGTGGAAAGTCGGGACCAAGCATACCCTGGGGTGCTGACGGTGGCATGACTTACCATGCCCTGCCAGCAGCCCCAGCGGGGCGCAGGCTGTAGAACATGGGGGCACTGCAGCCCCTGTGCTGGGTCTACCTCTGGGGGCGTGGCAGGTAGTGACGTGGGTACACCCTCCAGATGAGAGGTGTAGGTGTTCATGATCTGAGCAGCTGCACGCCAAAAGTGATGTTTTTCAAAAGAAAAGAGAAGGTGTGACCGTGGGCCCCCCTGGTCCTTTGTATTGCTGTGTCCCCCCGAACTATTGACGGCACATTCCTGTTACTCTAAGAATTCACTTAGCCCCAGAATAAAACTCCACATTGCAAAGGGCAAAGCAGCCTCTTTTAGGGGAGGGTGGGTGGGGGGCAGAGGTGGGCAGGATTCCAGATGGAAGAGGCAGGGTCTACGGGGAGAGAAAGGCAGTTCGGCCTCACCAAGACACCCGCCTTACAAAGCCTCTTTTTAGGAGACTCCACACGCAGCTAGGAGAAAAGACCTTCTCTTTCAGAGCTCCCTTCCAACCTCCACCAAGATCCAGCCACGCGGAACGACCTGAGGGCTGGGCGAGTGGGGGAACCACCCCAACACCTGCGGGGCGGAGCTAGCACCCGGCAGAGGTTACCCACAAAGACGAAACTCTGCCTGCAGATGCTCCAAGGAACGCCCCGCCGCCTGCCCCCAGCCCTTCTCCAGCCACAAAGCCAGGACCAAGCGGCAGGTCTGTCCACAGCCCGGCTGGGACCACATGGGCCCCTCCACAGCCACCTGTTAGTTCAAGTTCCGCAGCGGGGCGCGCCGTCGCCAGGCGCCGAAGTGGGGCGCATTTTGCCCTCGGAGGCGTCGGGCCCCACCCTCCGAGGGAGCGGTCCCCTCAGTCTTGGGGTCCCCACCGCCGCCCCCGGAGGTCCTCAGGCTGCTGGATTCCTACGGCCCCCCTCACCACGCATCTGGGGGGCGCAGCGCCCCTCCCCTCCCGCACCGACGGGGCGGCCACGCCCCTCCCTCCCCGGCGGCTCCGGGCGGCCCCTGCGCGTCCCACTTGCACGCCGAGGTCCCCGCAGCTTCCCCGCCGGGGGTTCACGCCCGAGGGCTCCTGCCCCGCGCCGGGGGGGGGGGGGGGGGACTCGGCGTCGCTCGCCCGCCCTCCCCGCCGAGCCGGGAGGAGCGGCCGGCGCCCGGGTTGAGGAGTGCACGGCCGAGCGAGGTCTCCGCGGGGGTCAGACTCGGCCGGCCCGTGTCCCCCGGCCCTGCGGGGGGCGCGGCCCCCACCCCCACCCTTTGGCCCGGGTCTGGAGCCGGCGCGGAGCAGCCCCGGAGCTCCCCGCCCCCGGCGGCCCCGCCCAGGATGGCCAGTTCCCATAGCAATCGCGCAGACACCGGTTGCCAAGCAACCCCTCCCCCTGCTCCCGCCCCTCCTCTCGCGCCCGCTCCCCCAGCCCAGCCTCCTCCCGCACCCTCGCAACCTCCACCCCCCCCGGGGGCTCCGGCGCGGCCCCCCGGGATCGCCCGGGCCGCGGGCCGCGCGCGCGCGCGTGAGTTTCGGCGTCTCATTGTGTCGGGGTGCCAGGGGGTGTGCGTGGCGAGCGTGGAGTTTGTAGGGTCGGTGCGCCGGGGGTGTCCCCGGCCGGAGGGCCCCCGAGGGGGCGCCCGGCCGGCCCCCGAGGGCCCCGCCCGCGCGCCCCGGCTCCTTTGTGTCTCGCGCGGAGCCAGCGCCGCGCCCACCCCTGCCCGGCCGGCGCCCGGGGCGGGCGCGCGGGTGCGCGCGGCTGAGCGGCCGCGGGGAGGGTCCGGGACGTACCTTCGATGCAGCACACCCGCCACAGCCCCGAGTGGGTGAGGTCGCCGCGGGCGCGGCGGGGCGGGGGCGCGTCGTCCATGGTCAGGTTGGTGCCGTTGCAGATGTGCGCGCTGGAGTAGAGCCAGTAGTCGGTGCCGATGGCGATGGCCATGAGCGAGAAGGCGGCGAAGGCTCCGGCCGTGGTCAGCAGCATCTGCAGCCCGCGGTCGCATCGCACCATGGTGGGCGCCTCATAGTCCGCCGCCCGCCGGCCCGGCCCGCCGCGCCCGCCCGCCGCCCTCCCCCGCCGCGCGCTCTCCGGGGGCGCCCGGGCCGGGGGGCCGAGGGCCGGGGGGCGGCGCCGCGCTGCGCGCTCCGACCCGCGCCCCGGGCGTGCTGCGCTCCGGCCGCGCCGGGGCTCAAACTCCGAGCGCGGCGGCGAGTGAGGGTGCGCCGGGCCGGGCGGGCGCGCGGCGGCCGCGGCTCCTCCCTCCCGACCCGCCCCCCGCGCTCGGCCCGCGCCTCCGCCCCGCGCCCTCCGCGCCGCCGCCCGCCGCCGCGCGCGCCCCGCGCCCCGCGCCCCGCGCCCCGGCGCCGCCCCGCGAGCCCCGGCCCCCGCCCGGGGTGCGCGCCCCTCCCTGCCCCGCGCTCCCCAGCCCGGGTCTGCGCCCGCCCCTCCCTCCTCGCGCCGCCCCGCGCCCGCGCGCTCCCCCCGCCCGGCTTCATTCACATTATCCGAGCGCAGGAAGCCTGGGCACCCGCTCCCGAGGAGCCAGGGGAACGCGTGCCAGCCCGCCCCCTGCCAGCCCAGGACCCCAGAGCCCTGGGGACCCGGGTGTGCGCGCGTGTGTGCGCGTGTGTGCGCGCGCGTGTGTGTGTGTCCTTCCCCGGGTCCATATTCCTGCTTTCACCTGGTGATCACTATACAGGCGTGAGTGTGGGAGGGCGCGTCAGATTTCCAGCAGCCCAGATGTGGTCACAGCTGGGAGCCATGGCAGGCCACGCCGGTGTCCGGCCACCGCTGCCCACCCAGGTGGCTCCTGCCCCACCTGCTCCCGTGGATCCCTTGGCAGGGAGCAGCAGACTTTGGGGTTGAGGGAGAAGGAAGGTGTCAGGCAGAGGCCCTTGGGGAAGCTCGTGGGGTCCCTGTTTTAGAGACGGGGGTGAGGGTGAGCTGGATGCGGGGGCGCTCCTCCAGGATCACATTTCTGCTGCTGGGTGACTGGGAATCCAGGAGCCCCCAGTTATGCTAGGTCAGACCCCCCGCCCCCCAGCTTTTCCGTCTTTCTCCCAGCTCCCTCTTCAATACCTTCATTTCTTTTCGCCTTTCGCTCTACTCCAGCTTTGCTGGCTTTCCTCAGCGCCTCCCCTTTATCAACGGCCTCTGCCTGAGCCCTGCTGGCTGCATTTAATTGCCTTTGCTGCTGGCACGTTCCCAGCCTGGACACACTCTCTTCCCAGCCCGGCCTCCTCCTCCTTCAGAAGCTCTGCAAACTCTTCCCTCCCAGAGGCCCCTGGAGACCAATACCTGGATGTCCAGCTGCCTTTCCTTCCTGCCTCCCCAGAACCCTCTGGATGGCACTCCTGATAGGTGCTGGGTGGGGTGCTGCCCTGACCCCCCCCCAGTAGAGTCAGTAGGAATACAGAGCTGCTGTGCGTGCCAGCTGTGCCCGAGATTTCATCTGCTTTATGGCACCTTCCCTGACTCCACTCCCCAGAGAAACTTCACACTCCACGCTGGGATCTCTGGTCTCGCTCCCTGATTGGGAGCCTTCCCCATGTCAGACCTACCTGCTAGATGTGTAAGAAATGTTTGTTGGGCAAGAGGTATTTCTTTTTTTTCTTTTTTGTCTCCTGGAAAACGATGGTTTGATTGAGGGGAACAGAGCATATTTTAAACGGGGGAAGGGAGAAATTCAAGATAATATAGCTGGAGGAACTGCCGCTGCATTCACCAGCATTTCGGGGCCTCTTCTACATTTGGGGTGACTGTTCTGCTGCCCCAAAGTCTCAGAGGACAAGATCTTTGGCTCTATGTTATTTTTACCCACTTGCTACCGGCACTGGGGTTCTGCACACAGCAGGTGCTCACTGTGTGCCTGAAGGTATGCAGCAGGTGTAAGACAACCCAGCCAGCTCAGAACAGAACTGCCCACCTCTGTCCCTGACATACACCAAGACAAATTCTTGGCTCTGTTCTTGGAAGCTCCCAGAAAGGTGGGTCTCAAGCTCCCCGCCCCTCCGCTTCTCTCCACTCGAATCAGGTGTCCCTGTAGATAAGAGCCGACATTGCTCTGATTGAATAGGCAACCACCCCCTGCAGCCCCGAAGCCCTCTGTGGATCCAAGTTTCCATGAAACGAGTGAAAAGTGACATCTGACCAGCTCCCGGGTTACTCGGGGACATCATCCTCCACCCATCCTGCCTGCAGCTTCCTCGGGGACTCTGGGAAGCAAATGAAGCCAGATAAGTGGATAAGACCTGCTGGGCCCAGTGGATGGGGAAGCAAGAAGCTTCCCTCGGTGTCCCTCTCGATGGAGGAGGTGACCCCCGGGTGAGGTGGCCCTCATCCAAGGAATGCTCCTCCAGTCAGCCCAGGGGGCACAGAACTGAAATCTTTGCTGATCAGAGCCCTCTTAGACCATCTGGCTCTACTCCACTCGCGAAGGATGAGGGAGGGTCGAGAGAGCACTGGACCAGGAGCCAAGGCAGTGCCATCTCGAGCTGGCTGCATGACTAGCTAGAGGACTAGTTGAACCACCTGGGGGAAAAATAGCTGTCCCCCACCTTTCAGAGTTGAAATAAAGCAGGCGGTTACACCCAGCGAGCATCTGGGAGGAGTGGTCCATGCTCTGTTGTCACATCAAGTCAGCCACTCTCTGGGGGTGTCTAAGACATTTTCCCTTAACTCTCTATTTTCTCCCTGGCCACACCCGGGGAACCGACCTGCAGACAGGATAGGCCAGTGGCTCAAGTTCCCATACCTGGAAGATCTCAGCTCAGTGCCTGGTGACTTCAAGATGAAAGCTTTTCCAGGGCACCGAGCAGCCTCTGGGTCCTTGTCAAGCAGGACGGTACTGTGCTGTTATTACTACTTGTTGACTCCAGGCCAGGGGACTCCAATGGGGACTTGGGGGGCTGCCTTTTTATCTGTGGGCACCGCCTGGGTACATGCTTACTCCTGAGGCTGTGAGGGTGTAGGCTGCGCAGTCAAATAGGGACTTGACCGCCGGCACAGAGAGCTGGAGCAAACTCAGGACTGTCTGAGGCCATTCATTATGCCTGGGTGAGCACAATTTAAATCTGGAAATTTCTGCTCAGTCGGATTAGAGAACTCTAAATGGCAGTATTTAACTGCCTGAGGTCCCTGGAGTGTCTCCATGTGACAATTCCAGATCTGAGGGAGGAGGTGTCCTCTGCCTGCCCAGGAGGAGGCTCTGGATTGGTCTGGTTCTGGAGAGGCTGGACGCTTGTCCCCTGCCCCAGGGAGCCACTCATTCTGAGTGTTCCAGCTGGGGGGAGGGACGAGGGCAGCTCGTTGGGCCAGTCTTCCAAAGCCGGCCTTTTCAACACCAAGTGGTTTCTTTCCCGGATCCTCTGGGTAATGATCACAATTGTTCACTTGAGTTGGCTGTGAGGCCACAGCCTTGATGTACTCAGAACCCTCCGAGGACCCCAAGTCCAGGGGGAAGCAGCTGGGGGGCAGCTGTGGGGGAAGAATCAGGGTGAGGCTGCTCTGTGCGGGGCCAGCCACCCTGAGAAGGGCACCCGCCCCCGCCCCGAAGGGCACCTCGGGGCTTTCTGCCACAGCCCGAAAGCCTTTATTAAAAGCTTTGTTTTCCCCCTTTGTGCTCCAGAAATAATGATCTTTGTGTGGCAACTTTTTGTCATATCTCATTTCTATGCCCACAGCAGATGGTTCTGTTGATTTCAGACGGCTTAGTGGGGGGGATTTGGGGAGCCTGAGAGATAGCTCGGGTAAATAGACATAAAGACTGATCTCACATTTCTGTAGCTAAAGGTTGGGGATGAGTCTTAGAAGGTTCCAGGGCTTGGCTCAGTGTAGAGGCTTATCTGCATCCCTTCAAGCTGCTGGGAATCCAAGAAGAATGCCCGCGCCCCGGCCCCTCTATCAGATCATGCACCTGCAAGAAACACTGCTTTCTTTTTCTTCACTATGTCAGTAGCTTCCTTTATGTATTCAAGCTTATTCCATTTCATTTGCTTATCACCTATATCCCATCCGGGGTGATGGGGGTGGATAAGCAGCATTCTTTTCCAACAAAGCGCTGGCTGGCAGTGTCTCCCCGCCGGCCAGCTCCCCCAGGGCAGAGGGGAGAGAAGCAGCATTCAGTGAGTGCCCTGTGGGTGCCAGTTTCTGGTGGGCATCATTTCATGTCACCGTCACAGCAGCCGTGGAAGGTGCATTTCTGCACCCCTGTTTCAGAGAAGACAAACCTGCAACTAAACAGTCAGTGACCAGGCTGGGATTTGAACCCAGCTCCCCCTGGTCACAGCCTGGCTCTGTCAGCTACTACATAGCACCCGAACACCCAGAGGGTGCAGAGGCTCAGCGTCTTCAAAGTCCTGCCCACCTGGGCTTCTCGCCGCACTTCCCCTTTATGTATCCATCCAGGTGAAATCAGGTTCACATGACAGTCCGAGTCACATGGGGGTGGAGACGTGAGCAGAGGGCCGAGCCTTGCAACTGGGTTCCCCATTTCCTGGGCAGGTGGTGGTGAGCTGGGCGGATGGCAGGCGCTGGAGGGGAAGGAAGCCACCAGCCTTAGGAGCCCACCCTCCTCTTCTTCCCTCCTGGCTCCGCCCCGGCCCGGGCTGGTGCTGGCCGGAGTGGAGGGCAGAGGGCCCCTCTGGTCCTGGGGTGCTCTGACCTCTTGAGACAGCCCTGGCTGCTGGCTGCCACCCTCTCGCGGGCATTTCCCATTTGTTGTGGGCAGGTCCCCCGCCCTGCTGGCCCTGTCCAGCAGCAAACAAAGCAGTGAGCCGTGAGTGAAGTCCGTGTGGGCTCCAGACCTGCGTGTTCCCCAGCTCTCCTTCGGGGCGGTGCTCGGCTGCCGTGGGCCGGGCTCCCCTGCTAGAATTTGTTCCGGAACCAGCCCCGCTGATGAGCATATTGATATGAACAGCCTGACTTGGCCAGAGCTTCCGGCCCAGCACGCTTGATAGTTAGCTGGTTATTCTGAGAACATTCTTTTCAAAACACTCTACAGGACAAACAGGCCGAGAGGT